TCGTGATATTCGAAAATCACGAAAAAAAATTCCCCAAATTTTGAACTCACTGTGAAGTATCTTTTTTTAATTGTTTGCAGTTAATAAGAGAGAAAATCAGTTAAGGTATCAAAATGTGCGTTATTACCTCAGCTTTACTTTAGTATAAACTTTATGTACGCTGGTATGAAAAAACTCGTAACAGTTTTGGTGTTTGCATTCTCAAATTACCAGTTTCAAATTAGTAAGCAAATTTATTGAATTTTCATGAGTTTTGCACAAAGTGTAGAGATTTTATTTAAAACTAGCAAATACCCAGCGTGCTTCACTACGCCTTAAAAGTATTTTTGTGTTGTTTGATACCCGTATTGTAATATTTAATTTTTTTTATCAATGTAATCGAATGAAATTTTTCAAACACGTGGCAACCTTCCTCAAAAATATTTTCGGCAGTAAACTTTCCCAAATGTCTTCAGTTTGATACCCATATTGCAATATTCAATTTATCTAATCAATGGAATTAAATTAAAATTTTCAAACAGGTGGCAACTTTTTTTCCAGTCGCAGTCTTAAAAATTCTCCATAAGTGTATACAAATACCAATTAACTAATTTCACTCATTAAAGCGTCTAAGCGTACTCCCACCTGGCAGGAAAAATGGCAGTGTTAATAGTTTTCCCAACCAATTTTGTCGATGGAAATGGCGCAAGAAAAAACTAGAAGAAATGGCAAAGTCAACAAATAACGACAAAGCACAAAATAAGCAAACAAAATATAATAAAACAAACATTGACACTGGCCAAACGTTGTGCAGACATTTATATACCGTCACCAGGTTGCTGCCCCACTATCCTTCTTCCAGCCCACCCACCACCAACATCACCTTTCATTGTTGCAATTGGCAATTATGTGCATTATTACTTTGCAAATTAAAAAAGACACACAAAAAAAAAAAAAATCAACAACTCAACAACAAAAAACTACGCAAATACTCGGAACAAGTTTTGCTTTCGCAAATTTGCATTGCATTGCCACAATTTAATTGAGAATTCCTCGACCAGACCGCGCACCTGCGCACCTCACCCGGTCTCTACAACCTGTACTTTACATACATACACCTCCAGCATGTTTTAAAAAAAAAGTGCCAATGGTGTGTCGGATGTTCCGCCGGTGTTAGTGCCGCGCTGCCGGTTGGCAACAAAGAGTCATCGTTGTCGATGAATGAGTTGCGACAGGCAACCGAGCAGCGCTGCGCCAAAGCGGCAACAGCTGGATGATAGCCGGTCGCTCTACCAGCGCATAGCGCATATCTACACGGTCGGTCGGTCGGTCTATGATGCATATGCTTTGTTCGTCTTGGCTTGTTATTGCTATTGTTGCCGCATTGCAATTGCCTTTTGCAAGCTTTGGTAGTTCGGCTGTCTGGCTGATGTGGCACGGTTGTACGTGGGTTTTTTTTTCCAAAAATCTTTGCACTTTTTCTTATTACTTTTTGCTATCCGCAAAATGCGCTTTCCGTTTTCGCGAAACTTTTGCACGCGCCAGCCAGACAATGAAATACGCCACCTTCACTGTAGCTGCTGCCGCTGCTGCTGCTGCTGCTACTGCCGCTGTTGCCAATGCAATTTCGCGAACTCATCGGTGGCTCCTCATACCGTAGCTATGACTCATCATCCTTGGCGTCGGATGTGGCGGCTATGTACTCAACACTTTTAGTGCATATGCTCCTATATATTCGTAAGGATGTATGTATGTGTGTTTGTACGCGAGCTAACTAACCACACGGATACATATCTTTCAAAGTTGCAGGCGTGATGGCGCAATGTTACTGCAGTTGTTGGATTTTTGTTTTGTTGTTGCAGTGATTAACTGGGATTTGTTGTGGATAGTTGCTTTGAGGCAATTTCATTTATTTAATTCGCTAATCGTCTGTGATTGCTTGATTGCAGTGCTTGGTAGTCAGAGTTGATAGTTAGTTTTTACCTTTGCATTTTGTTGTTGTTCTTGTGGCGCTTGTTGTTGCTATGTTCCTTAATTTTGAAAAAAGTGTTGCTGCTGTTGTTTGCGTGAATTAGTACGATATCCGGTCTTGGCGGGCTGACAGATAAACACTTAAAAGCTTCTTCATGACAAACTATTAGAAACAAATTTTCGGGACTCAGGGGGGTGGTTGTGGTATTGCCGGCAGTTTGAAAAAAGGGTGGTTAGAGACCAAACTTTGGCATTCATACTTGGGAGACAGACTCCAAGATGAGTTCTCTCCCCCTTATCACATATTTGTCTTTATTGTACAGAGGGTCAAAGTATCCTCTTCTATAAATCCGATTGATTTGCTGTAAAATAGTTTCAAGAACTGTGGACATAGTCCAAACTAGGGATTAATCCTGGATAAATCTGATGCTTGTTAGGAAATAAGTTTTGTATTGTTTTGTGCCCAAGTGTCCGGTCCGGCTATATATTAGCAAATGTAGTGACGGTTCCATTACTTGGTGTCTTCGAGCTCGCGCTCTGGTTTAGCGCGCGTTCACTTAGTGGTCAGTTTTTTGTAATACTTTGTGGATCTAAGCTTGAAGATATCCCCTTTCGTAATAATAGAACTTCTCTTTTAACCGACTTCAAAAAAGGGAGGTGGTTATCAATTTCTCGAAATATTTTCTTTTTTATGTGCAGTGGCGGTCAAAAATGGATGAATGGTGTTTGGTTTTTTATATTTACAATATTTTTCAAGCTAAAAATTTTTTGATATTTTTTTTTATAAAAATATGGTTCATGCTATATAAATCACACTTTCAAACTTTATACAGAACTTAGAAAAATTCCAAAAATTTGTATCTAAATTTCGTGCCTTTTAACCAGAATGTATAGACATTTTTTGGGTATGCAGTTAATAAGCTCATAAAATTCTGGTAAAATAACTGCAAGTTTTGAGAGGCTAAAAAATCGCATTAATTTTTAATCGTTTTTTTTTTTGCTGACGGCTTTTTCGGTTCGGTTCGGTTTTTTCCATGTTGCTGCAACCGCAATTAGTTTATGTATTTACTTCCTATTTCCAATTAGCACTTAAGCAAAGTTCGCAGCAAAAAAGACACGTTAGTGACACACCCTATATATTTAAACTTTCATTGAGTAGCTCGTCTGGTCATGAAATTCACGGCAAAACTTTTTTTCGCCAACTTTGCACCATTCATTATCAACACATTAACAACAATTTAAATACTCGTCCGTCGACCATGCTTGTTGTTGAGGCGTGAGGTATGAGAAGGCGTGAGACATTATCCACATACATACATACATATAGACGCACTCTAGGCTATAGAAAAAACAATAGCAACAACTAGAAAAAGGAACACCACAAAAACTTGTAGTTGGAAGTGAAGTGACAACATTCTTCTGTCGCTTTTGTCTAGTCATCATGGCGTCCGTTTTAATTGCAACGTCCGCTAAGTTTTACAAAGTTCTTGCTTCTGATGCGTAACGCTAAGAGGGTGAGGAAAGTTAGCGGCAACTGTTGGCCAACTCAAGCAATTGACAAGATCACGTTTGTTGTTTTTGTTATTATCGTATTCCTTTCATTGTACCCTTACTCCGTTGATACTTGTAAATTTGTGCGCTTGCGAGTAATTTGCATGTCGTCGCTGGAGTCCACGTCGTTCCTCCCATTCATCCGCGGTAGAGTAGTGCAAAAACAAAAGAAATAAGTAAATCCATACATTTAATAAAGCGAAGTTTTGTTGTGAAGAAGACAAAATTCCCACTCGACGTGCTAAATGCTTGATAAGACAATGGTATTTTTATTTCAAAGAAGAGGGCGTGCTTTACCGCGAAAGCTTGTCATGAATTTCTAGTTGGTAGCAGGCGAATCAACGGCCGAACAGTTGGTGAGTCGGGTAGTCGGGTACAAAGTTGGCTTTCTTTTGTGCAAAACCGCCGCTGTTATCTTTTTTTTTTTTTTTTTGTTTGGTTCGTGAGCTATTATTATTGGCTCATCAGAAAACGATTTGCGATATAATTTGTAGATAAGACATGAGTTATTAAAATTATTTATGCTTTGGAGGTGCTGCTTTTGTTTTTGAATAAAAATTTAATTTTCATTAGCTTTGTTCAATTGGACTTGGTTTCTGCGCGCTGACTCTCTGACTTGAATTGATTATCACAGTTTGAAAACTACTTGTGAATTTTAATGTTGAGGCATTGGAGTGAACGCCTCGGATGTTTTATTTCTTAAAAATTCCGTTTT